CCCATCATTCTTCGAACGCTGATAAAGCAATTTGGATGTGGTCGAAACAAAGACGCTAGAAACAAAGGTCAATTCCAGGCCCGGTTTACAGTAAACATCGCATCGGGATCAGGTCTTGTCGAGCTAACATGTAGCTACTGTGGTTCGCCTTATAGCGTGCTTTTGTACGTGAAATATCGTTGGGGGTAGGTTGAGACTTGAGGTTCACCGCTAACATCCTTCCAACCCGCAAACGCTAGGCAACGTCATGCCCACTCAAGGCAGAGAAATCGATGCAAATCATTATATGGACTATGGAAATGATAACACGTTGTAATATGATGACAGTTTATAGATAAACGTCTCTAAGGATATTCAACCAGTCGTGCCGCCCAAGTGACGAGAACATGAACTTAAATTGTATATATTCGTTACTTTCTATGACAACTAAAGTAAAAGTTTGATCTAGAAAATTGAAGCCTTCCTGCTCTCGGCGTACCGTCTGAGGTAAAAAATCGGATCCATTATATCTACGCCCATTGCAGGATAAGGTTATCATATTCGAAGTGACCTGAAAAGTTTTGTGAGTTATGAACGAGGCGACATCGCAGAAAAGGAAACAGTCAGTCCCGAAAGATGGTTAATTGAAGACAACATAGAAGACGAAATCTCCTAGTCATTCATGATAATAGTATACATCATACAAAGGTAGATAAAGCGTAAGATGTGCGCACTTTTTCTTGTAATGATAGGTCATGTTGATATGGGCCGACACGGAGAAGTTCAAGTTTTATTCACACATATAGCAAAGTACAAATCAAAACGAGTTATGATGATAGGCCTGAAGGACATTGATTAGAATGTAGAGCTAGAATATCTGTGAAGTTACAAAGGAACATCCTCAGGTGAACTTCTGACAATAGAGCTAGGTTGAAGAGTCGTGTGGCAAGCGAATATACCCTGAGTGATTCCTTTTATCTAGTCTCCACCTGGTGATAAGCGAATACCAAATACTATGAACGGGTCAATATCAATTCAGAAGGTTGACCTAGTCTTAACTCGCAGAAGCGCAATGCACCACAAAGTGGTGTCAAGTCTAGTCAATCGAGTGAAGGAGAAGTCTGCTTTGTTGATGAAACGGATGGGATCTCTACAGCCCATTCAGGATCTGATGATGACCTCAAAGAATTTGACCTCTTCAAGAAGAGATCCCACTCGAAGGATAAGGGCAAAAGAAAAGTAGTTAAACCAATTATCATCGATTCAGATGCCGAGTCTACATCGGGCAATCAGTCTTCGATGGCTGAGAGCTCGAAAGCCAAAGGTCATGATCAGATACTAAAGGAACCGGAAATGATCGCGTCTT